ATGGCACTCAGTACATATTAGGTACCGGATATCTTAGTGTCGTTTTTTCACCACGAGTTTCGGACAACCAATATTTTAATTCAGAATCCGGGGAGTGAAACAGCATATTCATCGAATGACTCATTAGCACTTTCCCATTTACCAGTATGAGTGGAAACCTCGTACGATTAAAGCTAGAATTTTTTTGAGTCGAAAAGAGAGGTAGGTCGGTTTTGACATCATCTGACAAATCATCCCTCTCACTTGCTAAAAAGTTAGGCCTGGACAAAAGAAGTATACAGTTAGTTAGAGTAGGGTCTGCACTGTATTGGTGGAAAAGTTATTACTTACCAGCTCAACTGGACAATTTTTCCCGGAGTCTTTTTTGCCACAGGGGGTCAAAAACGCACCCTTTTTGAGCACACGTGAGTAGCAGATGAGCACATTTATTAGAATTTCTTGTGCAATCAACTTCGTTAAAGCGTTTGTGCATCATCGATCAGTCACTGCTAAGGTGTCCTACCATTTCAGCACAAGACTGGTGCAGCCCCGTCTCGACTGATTTAACTAGGGCCACCTTTGACGACGATTGCGGGCATCACTTCAAAGACTTCACTGTCTTTTGAGAAAACTGTGAAAACCGATGAGCATTTTAAATGGTAGTATTCCCTCCAACAAATGCAATGTTGGTTTGGTGGGCGGAAGTTGTAGCTCTCAGCAAGAATTTTGAAGCATTTGGTACACACATGCGAATTGCACACTGGACCCAGGAATTTTCAAAAAAAGTATAAAAATTGGGGGAAAGTTAAATTGTGAACCAACAATAGAAAACAATAAGCAACATATTTCGCAGTATTAATGAGCAAAAAGGACTTCTGAGATATTGATTTTCCATAGTAATCGGCCCCACTAAGATATGCGACACTAACATATCCGGTACCTAATAGAATGTGAACAAACGTAAGATACCCACCGATTGCTTCGCAGTCAAGACCTACCACCACAATCAAAGTCCATGTTCCATGTTCGGAATATTATGTTTTCATTTTCCCGAGTTTGGCAGAGCACGCTGTTTTGGGAAGAGCTGCATAGAAAGCTACAATCTGCCTGCTGCAATGCCAATGCTAACTGCTGAAAATGAAACACTACAGGAACGTTGCCTGCAGCAGTTACAAGTGCAAACGCCGAAAAAAATCATGCCATCTTTTTCAACAACGTATAGCCCACAAGCGGAGAGCCATATTTATGGGAGATTCGGCTCGACAATGAAATCAGTGTCACCGTGAGCTACAATCGGAAACCATCTTTTCTGCTTCTGAAGGGAATTTTGCACTTTCTCGCTAGTGATGCGAAGATCGATATCGATGATTATAGTGATCAATGACTCCTTAGAATTGAAATGGAAAACTAAGAGTTCTCAGAAATTCAAATAACGAAATAGAAATGTTTGGGTGCAGTAAGAAATTGTTTTGCAGTTAGTCGAAAAAATTTGACTTAACACGTTGACGACATTGTGCAGCGCATGCGCATCACACCTTGAGCACCGTGTGGGACCGTGTGCAGCGCATGCGCTGCACACACAAAATATTTATTTTTTTTCGCGCATGCGCTACTTCTTTTCTAATTTTTTGCATCTATTCCATAGACTACACCATAATATGACTAGACACGGCGAGGTTCATGAATGGTTGAATATGCTCCTTTTTAGCGAAGGTTTTCTAAGCCCTACGAATTTCCCAATTGTGTTCATTCCTAGTTTCCTTTATATTCTGATAATCTTGGTCATAAAAAAGAGCAGTAGAAGTAAGTACAGACCCACACATATAGCAAGACATATGTTTTTAGTGGAGCAACCGCGTCAAAAATAATTTTGAGGTTCACTGCAGCAAAAGCAACTGAAACTTGCCTTTCATCGCCAGAAAACGTCAATTCGATCGATTTTTTACAGTTGTCCCTTCTGATAAGTTTGACACATCGAATATCATTCTAAACATTTTGTTGCATCCGAGTTTTGGGTATTTAAAGCTCAAAATTCACGGATTTGATGTGAGGCGGCGGCGCCTGCAAAATCGCCGTGGTCCCACGCGGCGCAAAAACCCAAAACGCGCGTTGTCGTCAACGTGTTAAATTAGGTTCAGCTAAAAAAAAGTATCCGCCGTTTCGCACGTCTAACTTTGAAGCATCACAAATCTGCTGAAACACTGCCTTTTGAAATGATTCGAAAAAAAATTTATATTCACCATCTTGTTGCTAAACACACCCACGCTAGCTCAGCTTTAAGCGCTCTGGGTTTCCGGATGGGAAGAAACTCAATCTCGATCCCAATCCTCAATCCCATGAAGCAACCTTTATATTATCATCGAGCAGATTCAGTTTCGTCCTGCGCTATTACCCATCTTCTGAAGCGGCTCCTTCCTGTTGCAGTGCGCACCTCCGTGCGCGTTGCAACGAGTCGAGCTGCCAGGACGGGTCAGTCCGATGAACAGAGTGACG